TGTTATGTAATAGTGCACTTTTTAGTTTTCATTTGCCCTGCTCCTCAGTAGAATGCTTATTACACCAGAGACCAAGTACATCCAGGGGCGGTGCTCATACAGCCTGGTCCCCAGGGCCTCACCTCTTCCCTTCCCTTGGGGTAGCCCTAAGACCAAATCAACGACTGGTTATGTTTAGAATTAAATCATTCTGTTCTCAAGTCCATTGTGTTTCATTGTCTTCGAAAGTTCATCTTCTAATTAACTTGGCTGTCGAGACTTGGCTTTCCTGGCGCACCACACATAAACCATTCTCAGCCTTAGAGTTTTATAATCCCCCGTCATTTAGAAGGCATATTATATAGTTCAAGTTTGTAATCGACATGCTGTGATATAGCGCTGAGTATCAAGCTGTTCTACAGTACTTTTAATTGGCGGTACTTCTGTTTGAAGTCAAAAAAAGGAAATTTGCCTTTGACAAATACACACATCTTGCGTGTAAATGTTCTCGTAAATTTTTTACACGTATGTTTTTTCGTGTATTCAGTTGTAAATCCGCCATATTGCACTCTATTTACACGCGTGCAAGTGCTCTTATCCCTGTGACCTACACTGTACTTTTTAAGGTACGGTGGAACCTCGCCTGATCGGTGATCATATTAATGGCAATAAACTTGGAAATTAGTTTTCTATGACAAATAAATGCTTATGCATGTATGTATAGTCATAAACTTATCGTAAATCGCAAATGTAAGGGACCCTTTCTAATGTCTCAAAATGCATGATTGTTTACATATTAAATTCTGCAAGCAGAATACTGCGTCCTTTGTGGTTAATGTTTGTAGTTTATGATTGTTTAACAGGAGAGTGTCTGCCGAAGAGTTAGACGACAGGGAACAGAAAATGAGCTGCCTTGTAAATTTACTGGTAAAGTGTAACCTATTTTGCTATTGAGAATCTAAAACGGCAATACACTTGATGGTGTTGTCACCATAGACATAATCAAATGTAAATTCAATAAAAATGGATTGCTAAGGCTTTCACTTCCATCGGTGCTAAATTTGTGGAAGAAGTTTAATTTGTGCTATTTTCAATTCAAGGAATTCTACAAGAAAATTGATCGCGAGGACATGTACATCAGGTAAATGAGCTTTTTCCTAGAAAGAGTTTATGTTGCTGTCTGTAAATTACTCGTTTCTTTCTGTCAAATACAGTACTTAGCTTTTCAAGTAAAAGTATATCTGTGCTCAGCGACCAAACATGTTTTATTTATTTATTCATTTCTTCGCATCATTTATTTTACCAGATGTATTGAACGATTGTGCGATCTGCATATCACCGCCAACAATTTCACGGAAGCTGGTTTTACAGTTCTTAAACATGCTGAATTGTTAGAGGTACTCAGAGGGTGATGGGAAGTGGAATATTATGATTAAGCTTAACGCAGGTTTTCCTTTCTTAACCAGAACAAAGATGCTTATACTTTAATAACCCTGGTGTTATTAAACGGAGTCCATATTCACAAGTATTGTCGTTAAATTCTTGTTTAAGAACCTGCAAATTCAAAACTTAACTCAACATTAGAAAAAGATCTGCGAAAACCCATTGGTCCCCTTGCTTTGATAAGCAGACCGCTGACCGCATTTCATCGTATCGTTTTACCTCAAGTGTCGAAAAGGGAAGTTCAATAATCAGGCCCGTCACGACAGATGTTGACGATCAGATTAACCAGACAATACTATAAGCCGTATGACGGCTTGTCCAAATGCGTTTTAGCGTGTCACTCTTGGTTTCGAGTTAACTCTTCACTGGTTTAACAGATGGTGTGAAGGCGGACAAGGGAATTGCTCTCATATACCACTATAAGTTAAGTTCGCCTTCTGGCCTGATATGGGGTGTTGATCTTATTAATCGGTTGAGTCTTATAAAGGATATGGTTTCTGTCGAACCAGGGTCTGGAATTAGGTACGGATTTTTGTCAATTGTCGCTTGTGTGTAGCGGTTAAAGTTTTTAACAGGGTAGGAAAACTTACACTTGGGGTAGGATTAGGGTGCGAAACGCAAATCGTAGAGATGCTAAACGAAAACTATCATGAAATTTCCTTGAAGTGTCAGTCTAAATCTGCTTAAGAATTAATCATATTTTTTTTGTTTCTTTTTTCAGTGGTCTGATGTAGTGATCAAAGACTCCCCTGATGCACAAACGCAGTTTCAGCTAAAGGAAAAGTTATATTTGGACGCTATTGACTTCCTGGACAAAGGAAAGGTACTTGATCTCCTTATAAGGAAATGGTGTGGGATTGCGCCAGGCTGTGTCTTCGGCAAATGTAAAGAGTTCCAAACGAGCCAATATCTTGACCAATACCGTAAACTGTCGCTTATAAACTGCCCCCAGGCCCAACAAAGTGTGACAAAAAATACATCCGATTATAAGCTGCCCGGATATAAGGTCCTCTCTAAATGTATTGAAATGAATTCGATTTATTATGACGTTTTAAAGCTTGAAACTTACTTTGATGTA